GAGGTCTTGAGTGTAACATTCCTTCAAAGAGCAGTGAGTTCTCTTTTGCCCAGAACTCACTGGGGTAAAAATACCACCAGATCATTAACATAGGGAACAAAAAAGGTTCAGGGCAAGGGTGTTGTAATTTATCAAATAAAATGACCTCCTTTCATGTTCCTTGAATGTCATTAAATAAAGCTAAGAGTGTCTGGAGTTTGTCTCGGCTGAGGAAGGTGAAATGTGACACAACAGTCAGCTTTGTATGGAAGTGGAATCAGAGCTGCCTTTTTGTGACCTAGGGAAGCCATTCTATGTAAAGCCTCCCTACTCCCATAGAACCAAGTCTTTAAGTTCCAAAAATCTCTCATTGTCACCTGAGGATGAAGAAATCCCACAGAGGGGGCTTTATTACCGTTCCTATTTGATATTAAGCCCTCATTATACTCAGGGAGAGCTACATACCACAGAGGTTGTGTGTCACATGTTGTGTCAGGTAATGACTTTTAGTTTTTTAAAAAAAACCCTCATCTTTAATTGTATCCCCAGCTCTCGTGCATTCACGCGCCTGCAAGAGCAGCCCTCAGCAGGGGTTTCGCTGCCTGTGCTTGCAGCAGCACAGGCTGAGCGTGAGAGGGGTCACGAGGGAAGGGGTTGCAAGGTCTTTGATGAGGTCTTCCCATCTCTTCTCTTTCCCAGTGTATAACAACTACCCGCTGTTGTATCACTAGTATTACTTTGATAACGAACAGCCTTTACCATTCTGTGTGATGTATCACCCTTACGCTGCTGTTGAGGGCGTGCACACGTACATACACACGCACAGGCCTGTGCAGTACAAATTATTCTGTTCAGATCCCCACGAGCTAAAGACCGTCAGAGCCCCGGCTGCCCAGGGAGGTTTACTGCCAGCGCAAAGAAAGGATCAGGCCCTCCCTGTTTATTTCTAGGCAGGAGGAGATGTCACAGCCAGGTACCCTGGCAAACCCAGCACCTCTGGTTGGCCATCCTCTGCCTCCTCGGCCCAGGGTGGCCTGGCGGAGCATCCCCTGGGGCACCCTGGGTGGTACCTGCAAAGGGAAGCTGTGAGTGGGGATGCTGCTGAGACATCCCCCCACTTTCCTCCGACCCCACTCATCATGGTGTCGAGCTGAGCACGGGGCTGCCTGGACTCGGAATTAGGAATTCTCGGGCAATTTGGGTACGAGTGGGATGGTAATGGTCCTTCCAGAGCTGTGTGCAGCCCCAGCCCCAAGGGATGGGGGGATTTGGGGATGCAGTGGGTGTGTTCTCAAAAGAGGATGGGACACCAGGCAGGGCAGCGGGCTGCACAGAGCAGGGGTGGTTATAATCCCTGACGGCGCACGTGCTAGGAGGAGAGATGCCGTTGGGGGGGTGAGGAAGAAGAGGGAGGTGGTTGGGGTGGGAGGGGGCTCCCGTGGCAGAGTCTGCACCCAAGCAGTGACACAAATACAGACGGACAGACACACAGAGCATGTAAACAGGCACATGGGGAGACCATGTGCTGCTTTGCTGCCGGTGGTGAAGAGCAAGCCTGGAGCAAAGGCACACGCCAGCCGAAACACACACACGGCCACACACACGCACAGTTTTCCCACAGGGGATCTTTCCAGCCTTGCCTTCGTTTCCTGGAGTGCTGAGAAGGAAAAGCCAGAGAGCAGAGCCGGAGAGGTGAACGACACCGAATGGTGATGGGAATGGCTTTGTACATCACGCTAAAAATAGTCCTCGTGATAAAGTCAGTCGTGGAGGGGGAGGAGGTGCAGGCAGTGCACAGATGCTGGCGAGATCTGCCAGAGGTTTGGAAGCCCGTACATCAAGGACGGAGCAGAAGGAACCTCATTGGGCCGTCATTGGAGCCGGTAATTTGCTCCAAGCAGCACTGAGGAATGAAGCAGTTGGCAGCTTGGGAGGGGGCCTGCTCGGGCACATCACGTCCCCTGCTCTTGGGATGGATGGTTTGCAACCCTGGGAAATGGGAAGCAGCGAGCAATTGCTGCAGCTGGAATTGTGCTGGGAACAGATGGGCGCTGTGGTTCCCTTTGAAGTGAGTCTCAGTTTTCATTTGTTTAGAAAAGGAAGGCTCTCCGGATCGCAGGGGCTCTGCCGTGTAAAGGCAGGCAGGGGCTGGGACATGGGCAAGGTGCTCAGGAAGAGCCAAAGCCAAAGGGAAGAGCCTCATTGGAAAAGGGAGAGGCTATCTGGGGGGAGCGCAGGGCAGCAGGGCAGGGACAGGCTGGGAGAGATGTTCCGGCCAGGGTGACCCAGTGAGGGGGCAGGTGGACGAGCTGGCAAGGTGAGGGATAGGGAAGGAAAAGCAAAGCACGTGTGACTTCAGAGATGGTCATTTCACCTCCTGCAACTTCTGCATACCAGGTCAGTGCCCAGCCCGCTGTCCCTGCCAGCAGGTACCCTGAGCCTTGGGGATGCTGAGCTCCAGTCCAAGCTGGGATCCTGACCAGCGGCACACGGACTGCCAGAACAGGAGGCTGAATTTTCAAGAGCTTTCCAAACCAGGACCTCCCTGTGTCTCTGCCCTCTTTGCATGACATGTGGCAAAGGCGTAGGGAGAGACAGGGTCCGCTTGCGCCTTCACATGGGCTCCTGGCTGCGCTGGCCTCGCGGGCAGCAGAAGTAACTCCCCGCCTGCTGCTGCCGAGGATGATTCACACAGCGAACTTGAGGCAGGATGGGAGCTGACACAACTGGGCCCAGTGCCGATCTCGCCAATGGGAGGAAGAGGAGGAGGAGGAGGAAGAAGGGGACATGCTGTGAGCCAGCACCCGAGAGCCGCAGTAGCCCCTGGGTGTCACGCAGGAGCTGGCAGCTTGTCCCCCCTGCCCACGCGAGCGGCGGGGAGCAGAGCTGGTGCACGGTGCTGATGGGTTGGCAGCTGATGGAAAAAGCCTTGAAATCCCTGGGGAGAAATCACCTAGCGGGATACAGGCTGTCCTTGGCTATGCATCACTGGGCAGCATCCCAAATCATGGGGGGGACCCGGAGGCAGGAATCAGAAGCAAACAGCACTTTAAGGAGGAAACTGAGGCATAGACACTGGGAGCAGGAGGGACTGGGCAGGGTTAAGCTCCGCTTTTTGCAGCAGAGGAGGATATCTTATAGCAGACCCCTCTCAGCATCCTCCAGCTACATCCCAGAGGATGCTGAGGATGTCAGTAAGGCACCAAACACCCCCAAGCCCCCTCCTCCTGCCCATGGCACCAGGCACAGTCCCAGAGATCAGCAGCGCAGAGCCATTCAGAGGAAAAACAAAGGTCTAAATGAGTTTTGGGTTAGGCTTTTCTCCCCTTTATTTGATGGCTGGCAGGGATCCATTGGCCAGCTGGGACCCCGGGTGAGGGGAGGGGATGTGATGGGGGACCAGACCAAACCTCCTCCCTGCTTGCCCATGTCTACCATCACATGAGGGTGCCTGGCATTTCTGGCCTTTCCCAAAGCCATGTTTCTTGCAGGCTTTGCCTGTAAATGACTTTAATCTTCGTAAGCCTGAAAAGTAAAGCTGCTTATATGGCTGGAGCCTGCCGGAGCACCAGGAGGAATGGGGGGGGGGAATGTGAACAAGAGGGGGGGTGTTAGTCCAGGAGAAATGAAACCCCATGGTGGATCAAGCCCCATCACATCCTTGTCCTGTCTCCTCTGGACATCTAGACACCCCAAGGTCTCAGGGGAAGGGGGTCAGGAGTACTCAACTCTGTACCTACTGCCGTCTCCTCTCCGCAGCGAAGGGGTCTTGAAGGCTGTCACTGCATCCCACCTGTCCCACCTAGACCTGAGCTGTGCTCACTCTGTCCCAGAGTCCCCCACTTTCTCCTTCAACCCCCGCTAGGAGAAGTCTCGGTCCCCATCCTGGCCCCAAACAGACCAAGCTCCCAATTCTGGCTTGTGAGCTGGTAAAGCCTATGCCCTGCGCATCGTTTAACGCTGAATAATTCTCCCTTGGATGAAGGGAACTATTTTAAACCTGCTGAGCCCTGCGCGCCAGACACCACCTCCACCCAGCACGCATGAAGAGAACAGGGATTCCATGGGGACACTTCCTTCGGGGTCAGGGGTCCAGGACATGGGGGAAGAAGTCCCACCTTTAGCTCCTTGGCTGAGACAAACAGGGTAGGGAACAAGGTCCACAAGGTCAAGGCATCAGACCCAAAATGCATCCCCACATCTTCGCCCGCCATCTCCAAGGGTGGAAGACAAAGCCTGGCTTAAAGCGGAGCGTTGCCACCACTTGGCAGCTCCATCACTGTCACAGCCTCACCAACTCTCACGGGTGGGATGGAGCCAAGTGCTGCCCAGGCTGCTCATCCCAGCCCTGGGGGGACCCCGGTGGAGATGGGGGAACCACCCCCACGTTGTACCCTGCCAGAGGATCCCAGGACCCTCAGGACACTGCATCCTCCCCTCCCCGAGCTGCATCCCACGGAAGCAGAGCCAGAGCCAGAGGGGCGGTGAGGCGGGATGTGCCGCGTCCGTATGGAATGGTTTTTTTATTACAGTTTTAATCTCACAGTCGGTAGCATTACATGAGAATAAAGCACTGGACAGGACTGGAAAAAAAGGCCTCTGGAGACAGCATGCAAACATTGCAACGAGTTTAAAGCAAAACAACCCAAAAAAAAGCGTCTCGCGGGGACGCGGCCGTGCCCTCCCGACTGGGCGGTGAGTCCAGCGTCTCCCCTTTAACCATCACTTCTGTCGTTGGGGTTTCCTTATCGTGTGTCCGTTTCATTGGCTTATTTATTTTATTATTATTCTTCTTTTATTAACCTTCTTCTCTCTCTTTTTTTTTCCTTTTTTTTTTTCTTCTTTTAATTACATTAAAAAATAAGATTCGTACTTTAGTAAAACACCCAGTGCTCAGCTGGGCCCTGCCTGAAATAATAAAAAACAACAACAAAAGAAAAAAAAACCCAAAAAAACAACAACACCCCCCTTCAACTGAGGAAACAAACAAAAAAACCACCCAAAAAATTCCCCCCAAAAAGAGCCTGGGAGACAAATAAAACCCCAAAACCTGACCAAATAAAAAAAAAAAGATTTGGAAGTTTGGAAGCGACCAGGAGAATTGGGGGGGGAGGGCGAGAGGGGAAACACCCCCAGGGCTCCCTCCTGGCCGCTCCTGGTGCCGGGGCCGGGCAAGGGGGCTGTCCACGCCCCAGTCATTCCCCCCCCACAGCGTGGGTCCCCTCCGGTTGCTGGGGTGGGTGAGCCCCCCCCTCACAGGTAGAGCTCCTTCTCTTTGATATGCACTAGCTGTTCGCGGAGCTGGTGGAAGGACGGCCGGTGGCCGGGGTCCAGGGTCCAGCACCTC